TTGCAAAGATGTTGGCTAATTCAAAAGTAGAAGGCAACTTCCTAAGCTGAATGAAGTGAGCCATTTTGGAAAACCTATCTACTATTGTCAATATAACTGTTTTCTAATTAGGTAGTGGTAATTCCACATTAAAATCAATTGCTATGCTAACCTATGATTTATTTGGTATATTCAATGGTTGTAGCAACCCACATGGAAGTGTGAGGGGTTGTTTATTCCTAGAACAGGTATCACATGCCAGTATATAGTCCTTAACATCTTTCCGCAAGGAGAGCCACCAATACTCTGTGGATATAAGAGAGTATGTCTTCTTCATATCAGGATGACCAGCTGTTTTACTCACATTAGGATTGGCAAGTATAGCTTGTTGATGTTCAGAAGGTACGTATAATCTATAAATAAGGGTTGAGTCAGGGGCCTGACTTTGTTTGAACATTATGTCATCAACAGGTTCAGAATGTATTTTGAGACTGGCATTTGCTATAATATGAGAGTTTGGTACAACAGTAGACATTTCAGTTACAAGACCTGTTTGAGGTTCATACTAGCGTGTTAGTGCATGTTAGCACCTTCAGATTTTTTGCCACAGGTCTATATGTTGAGATATAGTTGAACCTCACCAGGAAAAGAGACCAGCGTGCTTGTCTAGCAGTTAATCTCTTGGCCTCCCCCAGGTAAGCTAGGTTTTTATGATTGGTTAGTATCATAAAAAGGATGAGAGACCCTTGTAACAAATGCCTCCATTCTTTCAATACTTGCATTATGACCAACAGTTCTCTATCGCTTATTTCATATCTTCTTTCAGTATTTGTTAGTTTCTTAGAACAGAAACCACAGGGATGTAAAGGTTGATCTGGACTCTTCCTCTGAGTCAACACTGCTCCTACCCTTGTTTCTGTAGCCCATGGATCAGCGCAGCTAAGAGGAATAGGCCTTGACAGAGCCAGGAGGTAGGCATAGCAGCCACAGGAATTTAGTGACAGCTAGCATGCTGGGTAGGGCGGAGCCATAAGGGGAGTATTTATACCAGCCATTATGTGAAGTGGCCATTTTAACTGAACCTAAGCTTACCTGTCAGTTGTCCCTCCCACCCTCCCTGTATTTGGTTAGGTTAGTTGATTTCCCGTTTTTTCACAGCGGCGGGGAATGGCCTGGTTAAATCGGAGGGTAGATGGAGGAGAAAGTGGGCATCCTGAGGTTTAGTGTGGATTGGGCAGTGTTGCACGTGGTTGGTAGGTTCGAGCCCGTCGGTGGCTCCGAACCTGGGGGTGTGGTGGTGTCTTGGTACACCCTACACTGGAACTGGTGGGTAGCGGTGTCTTGGTACACCCCTACAATGGATATGGTGGGTAGCGGTGTCTTGGTACACCCCTACAATGGATATGGTGGGTAGCGGTGTCTCGGTACACCCCTACAATTTAACCTGGTGGAAATGTGGTCAAATTGGACGGCCAGTTTCTGTGTTAACATGTTATTTATATTGTTATCTATTGTTATTATGTGGGGTCATTGCTAGGGGTATGTTATGTATATGGGGGAGGTTAACATTATTAAGATTTGTTGGCAATGACCCCATTTGTTATTCCTTAATTATTTATTAATAATTTAATAAAGCTGTGGACAAATTATTTCCAACAGTATAACCTGTGTCCGTGTTTTAATGGGGGTTGGGGTAAGGTTAGCGCATATGCCGGCAAATCCGACTGTGCGCCTGTCAAGAAGCATCAATTTCATGCAAATATTACCATATCAGATGGGATCAGAACTGACTAGAATCAGGGCAGAGGAAAAGGACGATTTCAAGGATTCAAAGGCCTTAATGACTTCAGGTTTCCAGTATTTAGAATCTCTGTCTTTCTTAGTCATAGAGGTTATCAGTAGTGATGTCCCGAACTGTTCGCCGAATGGTTCGCGAACTGTTCGCCACGAATGGTTCACCACGGACTCCAGTCAGCTGACACATTCCAGCCAATCAGCAGCAGACCCTCCCTCCCAGATCCTCCCAGCTCCTGGACAGCATCCATTTTGAAGCTGCATTCTTAGTGAGCTGTCCAGGAGGTGGGAGGGTCTGAGAAAGAGGGTCTGCTGGTGATTGGCTGGAATGTGTCAGGTGACTGGAGTCCGCGCAAACCGTTCATGGCGAACAGTTCACGAACAGTTCACGAACAGTTCGGCGAACAGTTCGGGACATCACTAGTTATCAGAGTTATAATGGAAGAACAGCCTTTGATAAACCTCCTATAATGGTTAGAGAAACCAATGAATCTTTATATGGTTTTAAGTTCTTTCTGTAGAGGTCAATTCTCTATGGATTCCAATTTATTAGGATCCATAGAAAAACTTTTCCTTGATATCACATAACCCAAGAAACTGATTTGCTTTTGATCAAAAAGGCATTTCTCTATTTTACAGTATAAGCCATTATGCAACAAACAGGCCAATACTTTTTTTCACATGGTTGTGATGTAACTCAATGTTTTTTTAATAGATCAGAATGTCATTAAGGTACACTATCACACATTCATGCAAAAAATCCCTCAAGACATTGTTTATGAGATCCTGGAAGAGAGCCGGTGCATTACATAGCCCAAAAGGCATCACTGTATATTGGTAATGACCATATCTTGTATCAAAGGCTGTCTTCCATTCATCTCCTTTGCATATTCTAACTAAGTTGTAAGCTCCCCTTAGGTCCTTAGTAGAGTTGAGCGAACCCGAACTGTAAAGTTCGGGTTCGTACTGAACATTAGGTTTTTTTGGACCCCGGGCCCGAATACGGACATATCACTGTATGTTCGGGTTGGAGTTCGGTGTTCGGCAATTTAATGGCGCGTTTTCAAAGGCTGCAGGGCAGTCAATCAACAAGCATTTGACTCGTGTGCCCTTAGAAGCCATCACAGCCATGCCTACTAATGTCATGGCTGTGATTGGCCAGTGCAGCATGTGACCCAGCCTCTATGTATAAGCTGGAGTCACGTAGCGCCGCACACACATGAGGTCTTATTAGTGTAGGGAGAAGATGCTGCCGCTGATAGGGACAGCTTAGGAAAGAATTCTGCAAACTAGTACATTAGTGGGGTGCATTTCATATCGGAGAGTCAAATAGAAGCTTCAAATACCGCGGTTACATCTGAGTTTTAAAAAGTACATTTTTTTTGGGTGCTAAATAGTACATTAGTGGGGTGCACTTCATATCTGAGAATCAAATAGAATCGTCAAATACTGCTGTCACATTGCAGTTTTAAAACTTAAAAAAAATTTGGGTCCTAAACTGCTAAATAGTATTTTAGTGGGGTGTACTTCATATCTGAGAATCAAATAGAAGCATCTAATAGCGTGCTTACAGTGCAGTGGTAAACATTGTTATTTTCTGGGTGCTAATCTGCTAAATAGTACATTTTGTGGCTTGCTCTTCATATCTGGGAGTCAAATAGAAGCGTCTAATAGTGTGCTTACTGCGCACTTGTAAACATTCTAATTGTTTTGCTGCTAAACTGCTAAATAGTACATTTTGTGGCCTGCTCTTCATATCTGAGAGTCAAATAGAAGCGTCTAATAGTGTGTTTACTGCGCAGTGGTAAACATTCTTATTTTCTGCAAATCTGCTAAATAGTACATTTGCGGCCTGCGGTGCACTTCATATGTGAGAGTCAAAAAGTTTTAAAACTTAAAATTATTTGGGTACTAAACTGCTAAATAGTATTTTAGTGGGGTGCACTTAATATCTGAGAGTCAAATAGAAGCATCTAATAGTGTGCTTACAGCATTCTAATTGTTTTGCTGCTAATCTGCTAAATAGTACATTTTGGGGCCTGCTCTTCATATGTACAAGTCATGCTACAACAAAATTAAACAAGTTTTAAAATATGTATGGGCCAACCAATGGCTGTAAACAACAAAGGTTTACTGGTTACATTCATAACTACACACTCTAGTGAACAGGACCTTTATGTAGTGTGTTCTTTTTTTAAAATCATACAGCATCCTTTCATGTGCTTTTCAGATGTCATGTTGTGAATTACCAATTTTTGTTTAGCCTTATTTCAACAAAAAAAAAAGTAAAAATATGTATTATTGTGATCGCTTCATATACAGAAGCATTAAAATACATTTCTATATTGTGTAAAGACACAACTACAAAGTTAAAAACCAAACACCAAAACAACATGCCAGACAATCTAACTGTGCATGGCTAGTGTGATACAATAAGTCTACATCTTAAAAATGCAATAACCCACAGAAGATGGGCGAGAATTTTTTTTGCAAATAGAACTTTGATTCGAATTTACTACATCGGTCACTTGTAATATTGTTTCACACCTACAACACTTGTTACACAGATCTAAGTGATAGAAAACAGATTGATATTTTCTACACTATAAACTACCAGATAACAAGCTGCTATATTTAAACCAGTGATCAATAGCTAAGAGGTACTTCAACAATATTGTAATTCTGGGGCAATACCCTCACAAGTCAAACTGAGAGGTCAGTTTATAGGGAAAACAATTTCCATATGTCCTTTGCAGACTTTACATGCTGGAAAAACACAGGTGCCAACTGCTGTGGCTTTCTGCAGTGTGCATACCGGCAAGGAGGGCAGGGGTGAGGAGTGGGTGGAAGATGATGTGGAGGATGATGAGGTCCTAGACCCCACATGGAATCAAGGTCATGCGAATTACGTGTGCAGTTTGAAGGAAGAGGTTCTGGTCGCACAGAGGCACCAGCACAGCATAAGAGGGAGCAGGGTGCAAAAGTGGAGCGGCTGTCCCCTAGCGCTCGTCGGCATGTATTAGCTCGAGAATTACCAGTTATCCAAGTAATAAATGTAGCGATCAAAGGATCCATAATAGAGTTGAGCGAACCCAAACTGCAAAGTTCGGGTTCGTACCAGATTTAACGATCCATTCGTAGTTTCACAGTGAGGTGGGTAGTCCGGTGACTAGGACCCAAACACTGTCTGGGCGGCGGTCGCACGACCGGGACCCAGTATACCTGATGTTGAAGTTAGGAGTCACAGTGTGGAATGGATTAGCAGGGTCTGGTGCAGGGTAACCGCACACCCCCTGGTGTTGAGCACCAGCGTTTGTGCTGCCACATACCAGGACCCTGATGCAGCTTCAGTAAAAAGAGTACTTGATACCAGAAGCCATCACCAGACTGATCCGCAACTTGGAACAGGATGTGACATTCACTGTAGCGGCTGTGCCCGCTTTTGGCGTTGTCACTCTGCTGCTGCTCGCCTGTCTGCACTGCAGCATAACCTCGGCCTTCCTGCTCACCGCCTCATGAGGCGATAGTGGAGTTTCAGCTGCAGCACGCACGGGTCAGTGGCTCTGCTCAGACTTCCCTCCAATTGATCAGAGTTAAAGGATTTCATTAGAATTACAGGGCCTCTAAAGAGTCTTGTATTGTTATTTGTCGTCACTACCTTCGCACGTCGGGAGTGGGTCATTTGCGTGCCTGCTACCTTCCTTGCATGTGGTAGCCGTTTCTCAGGGTCCCTGTACGGAATGGAACCCTGATTCCCCGTTACCTGTGGTCACCATGGTAGGCGCAGAAACTGGCATCGAAAGTTGATATGGATGACATCCGCATGCAAAGTCGCTGCCACGGTTCTCTAAAGTCAACAAAGTGCCTGCGCAACTATAATGTCAACAGTTACTCTGCGGAACAGAGTTGTCTTTTTTTATATGTCCCAATATTTTGGGGGCTATGCCTATTAAAATATATATAAAAAACTGTGTTGGCTACCTCATCCTCCTCCTCCACCGCCACGGTCACCACCTCCTCAACCTATGGGTCACTTAGTATAAACTAGGTACACATTAGCAGAGGCTTGTGAAGGCCTTTTCTCCATGCATCAGGAGTTGAGCATTTCTCCATGCATCGGGACTGCAAGAAATGCACCGCAGGCCGCAAATGTTTCTTTTGTTGTATGTCCCAATATTTTGTGGGCTACCACATTTTAAAAAAAGAAACAATAACAGTGTTGGCTACCTCATCATCCTCCTCCACTGCCACGGTCAACGCCTCCTCAACCTATGGGTCACTTTTCTCCATGCATCAGGAGTTGAGCTCAGTTTGAACAATGAAAGAGAATACCATGCACTCCAACCCTCTCTCAAATGGATAATTCTGGCGATCCCCCTGACAGCCATGCTTTATATTTTGCTTTATGTTCTTCCAAACTAAAATCAAAGCTTCCATCTAGTGCTATTTTATGGCTCAGCTGTTTTTATGTTATTTTAAGTGATTTCCCTATCCACATTTGTTTGCAGGGCACTTGTCTTACTCTTACCCCCATTTTACTTCCTTTTGCAGCTCTCTAGCCCTTTCCAGGAGTTTTTTAGAGGCATTTTTGTGGCCAAAAGTTCGGGTCCCCATTGACTTCAATGGGGTTCGGGGTCAAGTTTGAACCCGAACCTGGACTTTTTTTCAAAAGTTCGGCCGAACCCTCCGGACCCGAACATCCAGGTGTCCGCTCAACTCTAGTCCTTAGGTGAATATTGCCTCCTTGAACCGATAAAAGAGTCCTGTTATTAGAGGTATAGAGTAGGCATTTCTAACCATGATCTTGTTTAACCCTTGATAATCAACGCATGGTCTGAGGTCTCCTTTTTACGAAACAAAGAAAAATGCAGCCCCTGAGTGAAGAGGATTTTCAAAAAAAAAAAACCTTCAAATTGTCCTTTATGTACTCTTCCAATACTACATTCTCCTTCACAGAGAAAGGATATATGGTACCTGTACCAGGTAGCAGGTCTATAGGACAGTCATAAGTCCTATGAGGTGGTAAGACTTCAGCTTTTCCTTTGTCAAATGCCTCTTTCACGTCAAGGTATGGTTCAGGTATTTCAGTTGACAAAGGAGTTATGGTCGGAATATTAATCAGAAGACCCGGTTTAACCTTAGTCACACTGTCTCGGATACAATTGTTACGCTATGATATCACTTCACCACTATGCCAATCTATAGAGGGATTGTGTCTCTTTAACCAAGAAAACCCTAGAACAACAGGAAATGCAAGAAAGGAAATTACTTGCAGTATGATTAGGTCCGGTGCAAGGATTTTTGCCTCCCTAAGCAGAGATCCATTTTGCTGTCACTCACTCACTGACAGACACACTCATTGACACACACACAGAAACTCAGACATACATACACTCACTCACAGACAGACACATACACACACTTATTGAAAGACAGACAGATACTCACTCACTGAGACTTACACTCACTCATTCACTGACAGACATCCACTCACTCACTGATAGACAGACACACACACACACACACACTCAGACACTCAATGACAGATACACACACTCACTGACATACATACACTCACTCTCTGACAGAGACACACACACACACACACACACACCACAAAAACAGGAATCTCTGCACACTGGTTCTGCCTGCAAATTCCATGCCTCTATCATGGAGGTGCTCTGTGCCAAAGGTGGACAACGCTGAATCCACCAGAATACTCACAGAGGCAGAAGAACACAGGCAACACCCCAGGATCAAGAAGGTAAGTTTATTTCTGGAAACACCACCTCATAAAGTGCAACGTTTCGGCTCAACAGAGCCTTAATCATATCAGTGAGTGTGTGTGCATGATTAACCCCTTAAGGACCAAACTTTTGGAATAAAAGGGAAACATGACATGTCACACGTCATGTGTCCTTAAGGGGTTAAGGCTCGGTTGAGCCGAAACGTTGCACTTTGCATTTGGTGTTTCCAGAAATAAACTTACCTTCTTGATCCTGGAGTGTCGCCTGTTTTCTTCTGCCTCTGTGAGACACTTACACTTACTGACAGACATACACTCACTCACTGACAGGCACACACACAGACACTCACTGGCATACACACTCACTCACTGACAGACACACACACAGGCAGACACCCACTGACAGACACACAGACAGTCAAACACACACTCACTGACACACACAGACACTCACTGACTTACATACACTCAGTAACTGACAGACAGACACACACACAGGCAGACACTCACACACATTCTCACTGACAGTCAAACACTCACCTCTCTGGGGTCCAGTGTGGGATAGCTCCTCACTCCTCCAGCACTCTGTTTAGTATGCCGGGGCCAGAATGACGTGATATTCCGGCTCCCGGCATTACAGAGGGAGGAGTGAGAGACTGCAAGAACAGCCTCCCTCGCCGCCTTCCTTCTCCGCCCCCCTCTCCTATGGACACTGAAATTTGTTGGCAGAGCAGGCACCTGCCATTAAGGTAAGCAGGTGCCTGCTCTGCCTCACCTAGCGCAGAGCTTCGGGGGCAAAGCTGAGCGTAGCCATTATTTTGTCTACTCTCCATGATGTCTGCCATTTCCCCTCTAAGGCATTGATTTACTGCTGGATTGTGGGTAAATTTGATTGGAAACTGAAATTAAACCATGCTTTAACCCCTTAAGGACTGAGGCAGTTATACAACTTCAGATCAAAACAAAATGTAAACAAAACCTTGAATTTGTACTATATGTCTGTTCAACCTTAATTCACCTCTTTCATATTAAATGCACCCACACTTATTATATATAATTTGTTCAGGAGAAACAGGGATTCCATGTAACGTCAAATATTTATATATTAAACATTTAATATGAATAAAATATTTTTTAAAAAATGTAAGTAAAGAAATGTTATTTTTTTAATTCTGCACAGCATTTTAACTGTGAATGTCATGATAGTGTTAGCTGTTACTGCAGTAAAGTACATAGGTTTACATTCGGTGTTGTCTACCGAGTACAAGAGTACCCTCAAAGTACAGGTTTTATGGTGTTTTATAAGGTTACAGGGTCAAACATAGCTTGTTACATTTTTCAGTTTATATACATTGTAATTTTCCAGACTGGTTATACTGCCTTTGAGACCGTATGGTATCCCAGGAATGAGAATTACCCCCATGATAGCATACCATTTGCAAAAGTAGATAACCCAAGGTATTACAAATGGGGTATGTCTAGTCTTTTTTAGTATCCAGTAAGTCAAAAATAGTGGCCAAACTTAGTGTTTTTGAACTCTAATTTTGTTCAGTATTTCTGACTAAGTGGCTACTAAAAAAGACTTTCAATACCTTGGGTTGTCTACTTTTGCAAATGGTATGCCATAATGGGGTAATTCTCATTGCTGAGCTACCATACAGTCTCAAAGACAACATAACCAATCTAGGAAATTTCAATGTGAAAAAAAAAGGAAATGTAATCCTTATATTTGACTCAGTAACTTTTGAAAACACCATAAAACCTGTACATGGAGGGTACTGTTATACTCGGGAGACTTCGCTGAAACCCAAATATTAGTGTCTCAAAATAGTAAAATGTACCACAACAATGATATCATCAGTGAATGTGCCATTTGTGTGTGAAAAATGCAATATATTGCACTGTCACTGACGATGTCATCGTTGTGATACGTTTTACTGTTTTTTAACACTAATATTTGTGTTCAGCGAAGTCTCACAAGAAAAAACAGTATCCCCATGTACAGGTTTTATGGTTTCCTGGAAAGTTACAATGTTATATATAGAACTTGGGAGCCAAATTCTCTTGACTTTCAGCCTGGGTGGTGTCATGTTCTCACCATGCCATACAGATGGCCAGACGTGGCCATCGTACAAGTGCCAAACAGGGGATTTTGCTGTTCTGGGTCTGCTATCTGCCTTTGAGCCACAGCAGTTCCGATTCTTTTGATATGTTGTAGCCCTATTATTCCTGGCTATGTCTGCAGCACTGTGGGCTGGACTTATTCTATGGTCATTGCTGTGCTTCACCTGAGACTGATCATTCATCTGCTGGGTATATAAACTGCCCCTCCCTGAGATCATCATCAAGTCTTTGATCCTGGTGTATGTATTCAGTTTCTGTTTTCTAGTCTCCTAAACTTGTATTCCATATTGACCCCGGCTTCTGACTTTGGCGACACTTTGTTTATCCTGACCTCTGGCTATCCCTCGACTATCCTGCTGTTTGTGACCTTGTCGGTACTGCTTCGGAACACCTTTCCTGCACAGAATCCCAGGTGGCTTCTTACCTGGTCACCTTGGACTGTGTCTATCTGCAAGGGCAAGCAAACATATCTGCGCTACATACTCCCACCACAGGTAAGACCCTGACAGGTTGTTAGGCAGGTCCCTCAAATTATATATATATATATATATATATATATATATATATATAACACTTCGAATAATGGTTTATGTATGTGCATATAAAAGTATATATATATTATATATGATCTAAGTACTTTTATTTACTTTATTAATCTTTGTTATAACTTTTACTAACTTACTAAACTTTTTTGCAGGCATTAGAGGGACAGCCTGAGAGTTCAGGTGATCCCCCTGTAGGCACTGTAAAAGCCAGGCAGATTCCAGGATTGCGACTGCTGGTATGAGATTGGCAGGGACCCGGTAAGTCCCTTGGACGGCGGGAACATTCTATGTTGCCCGTCTGTGTTTAGTGCCACCCCGAAAAGGATGGCATAGAACAGCCGGCGTCCTTAAGGGGTCAAACTCATTGTCAAGTGTTTTTAATCTGTCTGCTATACATAAGGAAAATAAGTCCCTACTTTTCATTGTGTATGTATGAAACTCAGGGGAAAAAAAATAAGAGATTCAGAGAAAGGAGTCTATATAAAAGCAGATAAGATACAGTTTATTTTTAGTGACAACACCACTGTAAGTATAAAACCATGCAGCTGTGTATGTTGGTCTAACTTATTCCATGAATTTGTAGCTGTTTGACATAT